TAAAGCTTAAGGAGATTCAGAGACTCACTCAACTAGATGCAACTTATTATAAGAAAAAAAGAGGACACTATGACTTAAAAAACTCCCTTCTTGAAGCTGCTTTATTGTCTTGTCACTGTAGTTTAGTTTACATTTTCTAAAATTTTATGTTAGTGGAATCATCTAACATGGACTTTTTTTGGTCTAGTTTTTTATTTTTTACCTCAGCATAATTATTTTAAGAGCTAGTAATGTAATTAATTGTATGTCATACCAGTCCATTTCCTTTTTATTGCTGAATACGATGTCATTGTATGGATGTACCACAAGTTCTTTATACATTCTCTAGTTGAGGGACATTTAAATTATTTACCTTTTGGAGCTATCATAAATAGTGCCAATATCACAAGAGATGTAACAGCTGTGAAGGGGCTATAGGACCCAAAGAAGACGCATATTCCAAAGTCAGGTGACAGAAAGTATTTCATCCAGGAAAAAAAAAGATTCACCCCAAACATATGGGAATGTATCCCAGTACAGTCACTCTAGCCTTACAAGATGATTAACAGGTGTGCACCCTTAAATTTCATCAAGAAAACATCTATCTAAATATAAATGGTGTATGATACATTCATGTTTTAAAAATCTAATATGCAAAGAAAAAAAGATCTTAAAAAGGCAGCAATAAAACTGATGTAAACAACTACAACAGTAGCTAACTTGAGCATTATCTACAAATCAGGCACTATGCTGAGCTTTATAAGATTTATATATAGCCACATGCAGTGGCACACTTCTGTAATCCCAGCAGCTCAGGAGCATCACAAATTCAAAGCTGGCCCTAGCAAGTTAGTGAGGCTCTAAGCAACTTAGTGAGACCCTGTCTCAAAATAAAAAATAAAGGGGCTGGGTATGTGGCTCAAGTGGGAGTGCACTTGCCTAGCATGCATGAGGCACTGGGTTCGATCCTCAGCACCACATAAAAATAAAATAAAGATATCGTGTCCACCTAAAGCTAATAAATAAATAAATAAATAACCCCTGGGTTCAATATCTGGTACCAAGAAAAAAAAAAAAAACCAAAACATTATATGTAGCTGCCAGGCCTGGTTACCAAGAGCTGAGGCACAAGTATCCCGAGTTCAAAGCCAGCCTCAGCACTTAGTGAGACCCTGTCTCAAAATAAAACGTAATAAGGGGCTGGGGATGTAGCTCAGTGATAAAGCACTCCTGGGTTCAATCCCCGTACCACACACATACACACAAAAGATATAGATATATTGCAAAGTGATCATGCTCTCCATTTTACAAGTGAAGAAACCAAAGGCAAAGAGGAGTTAAGAATGTGGCCCTAAGGTCCTATAGCTATAAGAGGTAGAGTCAGATTTGCCTGACTCCAGACATGTGTTTCAAGGCTACGCTAATTCACTGTTTTCTCTTCAGGTCTCATGTGCTTTCCAGCTGGCTTAGAAGATACCTTCTTTGAGCCAATGATACTATCACTTAAACCACACTACTACTCTGTTTTTAATTTTGTACACATCAAGTAACTTTCTAATGTTTACTTGTTTATAACAGCCTATTTTCTCTATGGAAAAAAAGCATCCTCAATTTTCTTAACCAGCCACTGCTTTCCTGAAACTATGGCTCAACTTCAATCGAGTCCCTTCCAATAATCACAAATTCTGGATAAAGTTTTAATATCTGTGACTTCATCTCAATTATTTCTATATGAAACTTGAAGGAAAGGAAGGAAGACAGGCCAGTCACAGGATAGAAGACAGAAAAAGGAGACAAAAACTACACAAATATGTATGTGTGCATGTGTGCTACATACATTGCTGGAGGATCTGGGCTTAACTCTACAAAAGGGGAGAAAAGTTTTATCACAGCAAATATGTCAAAGCCTGAAAGTCCCAGAAGTACCTCCCAAAGAGGATTATGATCACCTCAAGTTAGAGCCAAACTTCAAAAGAAAATTCACAGTAAGCAGTGCAAATGTCAAATTCTGGTTGTTTTATTTTTGTTTTTGTTTTCCAGTACTGGGGATTGAATATCTGAGCTACATTCCCAGCCCTTTTATTTTTTGAGACAGGGTCTTACTAAGTTGCTTAGGGCCTGGCTAAATTGCTGAGGCTGGCCTTGAACTTGTGATCCTCCTGAGATTGCAGGCATGTGCCACCCACTGTGCCTGCTGTTTATTTGGTTTTGTTTCTTGTTGTGCTGGGGTTAGAACCCAGATTCTCATGCATGCTAGGCAAGTGCTCTACCATTGAGCAACATCCCCAGCCCAAACTCTGGTTGTTTTTATGGTGTATTTTGAGCAGTCAACAGGGCTCCATGTGAATATTGATGCCTTTCCACAAAACCATGTGAATATTGATGCCCTTTCCTATGTGCCGTCCTACTGCAACCATGTGGAGCTCATCAACATTTGATAAAGATAACAGCAAAATGGTCCTTTTAGTACTCTGAAATATATCAGACCACCAAAGAAGATACATGCTGAAAGCAGGCATTAAAATTACCTAATCAATCCCCTTCTCTCAAAGATGAGAGAAATGAGGCTAAAAGGGTGATTTGAGCAACATGTACAAAGTGGAAAGGACTTAAATGAAATATCTTATTTAAAAGCAGAGAGTTAAAGAAAATCAAATCAAAGATAATCAAAACCTTTTAAGAAGAAAAATGTCTTTTAGTTTCTTTTTTACCCAAAATGTCACAAATTACACTCTCTCCTTCTTGCAAAAGATGGCTTACATCATGTCAAATTAGATCTTTTCTCAGATACATACTAATTGCTTCAGGCAGACACACTACCATACTGTTCTTTTATATTCAACTCTAAGTCCCATCACCTAACTGAAGCATTTTCACAACTAATTATTGCTAAAACTCAGCAAGATAAGTATGCTTATTAATTCCATCCCTTCAGAAAAAAAAGTAGAGGTAGCATAATCTAAATGTAAAGTGACCCTTCTTTTAGAAATTAGATAATGAAATGAACATGACAGTGGACGCCTTGAATCCGAGCTACTTGAGATCCTAAGGCAGGAAGATCCCATATTTGAGGCCAGCCTGGGCAACTTTGCAAGATCCTGTCTTAAAATGAAATATAAAAAGGGATGGGGAAATAGCTCAGTGGTAGAGCACTTTCCTACCATGTTTGAGGCCCTGGATTCAATCTCCAGCATCAGAACCAAAGAAAAAAAAATTAAAAATGAGAATTAAATACTTCAGAATTTTTATTATTTCTAAGACCCTCCAAAGGAGGGGATACCAGCTATATATTTATATTTTTAAAATGATTAACCTGCAACACAAAGCCCTGCCAGTGGTTCTCAGCAGTGCTCACTGGTAAGCACAATGCATCTCAGAACAAAGGAAATGTGGAATACATATTTTGGAAATATCTGTCTTAAGGAACTTCATTTGTATTTCAATATCTTTAATCAAGAGGAAAAGGAGCTGGGTGCAGTGGCACATGCTTGTAATCACTGCAGCTCGGGAGACTGAACCAAGAGGATCATGAGTTCAAAGCCAGCCTCAGCAAAAGTGAGGCACTAAGCAACTCAGTGAGACCCTGGCTCTAAATAAAATACAAAATAGGACTGGGGATGTGGCTCAGTGGTCAAGTGCCCCTGAGTTCAATCTCCAGTACCAAAAAAAAAAAAAAGGAAAAGGAATAACACAGCCTTAGATTTACCAAGTGTTTCTCCCATATGTATATAAATCAGTTTGACTATCTGGGAGGATGAGAGAGGACAATCTGATCTCACTCACTTGATAGAAGAGAAAATTTCAATTCTGAGATATTCAATGGTCCTTGTGACTGTCAATTTCTATTCAGAGACTATTCTTCTGTAAAGCTATTTGGTCTACAACACTAGAAAGAGATTTGATGCTAGCTAGATATTTTTTCCAGTGTTAACTGATATAATACATAATAACTGATATAATATACATATTATATTATATACATAATATATCATGACTTTCTGGTATATAATTTTTGTTGCTCTAGTACTTAACCCAACAATTATACTAGTCAAAACAAATTTTAACCTACAAAGCTACTGACACCTATAACATGCAAATTTCACTAATGTGGGAGACCCCTGGATGTTCAGCTTAAAATACATGTCAGCTATTTGCCCAAAACGAGAAGATTCTGAGTTATGTATGAATTAACTGATTTATCCATTCACATTCTCTTCCCTACTCCTCCCGCTTAATCTCCTTCCTTCATTGCCCCACTTTAATGATGTAGAGTGAGAGTTGGCAAATATTTTCTGAAAAGGGTCAGATAGTAAATAGGGTAGGCTTTGTAAGCTCTGCTTTGTAGCACGAAAGGAGCTTCAGACAATCTATAAATGAATGGGTGTGACTATGTTCCAATAAAATGTTATTTACAAAAACAGGCACTAAGAAACAAAATGCAGGGCTGGGAACCTGGCTCAGTGGTAGAGCACTCGCCTAGCACATGCGAGGCACTGGGTTTGATCCTCAGTACTACATAAAAATAAATAGGTAAAATAAAGGTATTGTGTCCAACTACAACTAAAAAATATATATATTAAAAAGGGAAACAAAATGCATTCTGCTGTCATGTATAACTAATTAGAACAAACTTAAAAAATAAAAATAAATAAAAAACCAGGCATTAAGCCAGATTTGACTTACTGGGCTATAGTTTGCCAACTCTGCCACGGAGTCATAACTTTAGCCAACACAGAATCATGTACAGGACTTCTTAATACACAGATTTCTGGGTCCCATCCTTAAACTGATTAAGTAGGTATGTAGAAGAGCTGGAAACTTTGCATTTTTAATAATTTCCTAAGGGAGGCTGATGTGTTAATCCCAAGGACCACACTTTTGAGAACTACTGGTATAGAATAATGGCCGACACTACGTTCAATGAAAGGTTGAAATATAATGAACAGTTAATAAGAAAGGTGGAAATCATATGTTGCAAACATGATTGTTGTTTTTACAGAATATTTCATATAAGGACTTACTGTTAAGTGCCATAATATTATCTGTTCCCGGATGGTGGAAATTTATTCCCATGCGACCTAAAAAATAAAGTAATTTTATTTTAAGCCAAAGAAAAGAAAACTCAGTATAATAATTTCAGACACATTATAAAATATTAACATTACAAAAAGTTAAAACAGATCAATCTATAACAAAAATGCTACCAAAGGCCAAAGCAATTGCAATTTTGTAAATCAAGTCATAAAACATACACATGAAAAGTCTTAAAACAAAGGCAAAGTCTCAATACAAATAAAATACAACAAAACAAAAAAGAAGCTTCTGTTATAATAGTCTGAAATTTTCACATCTTCCACATTCCAATTTGAACATGCCAATTCCCTGGATTAAGAATTTAATTTAAACAATCATTCATAGTGCCTTTCAAATTCAAGCAGCCAAAAAAAAAAAAAAAAGTATATAAACTTGAAGCTTAGAGAGAATAAAAAGAAACAGGTTTCATAATGGCTCAAAATTGCAACATAATTATTAGAATGGCAACCAGAAGAAAGATAGTGAAATTTATGTAACAGAGTGGGGAAAAAATTACTGGTTTAAAAATATATAGAGTTTTTATGCTTCCCCCATCATTAACTAGTTTTATGACCTTGGGCATAATATTAATTTCCAGACCTTTATTCTTACAATTATTACAGGAGTTGAAAATTTTTGGCCATATTGGTCAGCTGCCTGTTTTTGTATGTCTCTGAGCTAAGAACTATTTTGACATTTTTAAAGGGTTGCAAAATCAAACAAAAACAAATAATAATATGCGACAGAGGCCATGTGGCCTATAAAGCCTAAAATATTTACTTTTTAGCCCTTCACAGAGTTTCGAAACCTCTGGTCTACTAGATGATGAGCTGGAATCAGAAGTTTCAACTAATGACCCTCAGGGATAAAAGTGAAAGATGTAGATATTTGATTTTTTTTCATTTGTTATTTGAGACCAAGAAGTGGATATATCAATAGAAAAATTACACAGTATCTTGTATGGGGGAAAATGTACTTGGTAAAATTTTTTGACCAATTCTTTCAACAAAACAGTTATTAACACAACAGTTTTTAAAGCTAATATGTATAAACTTGGTTCTACAAGGTTTTGTTTTGTTGCTGTTCTGAGGACTGAATTCAGAGAATCACTCTACCACTGAGCTTTTTTTTGTTGTTGTTGTTTTTGTTTTTTGGTACTGGGAATTGAACCCAGGAGTACTTTACTACTGGGTTACATCCCAGCCCTTTTTAAAATTTTTTGACACAGAGTTTCCCAAAGTTACTTAGGGCCTCAGTAAATTGCTGAGGTTGGCCTCGAACTTGCAATCTCCTGCCTCAGCCTCTCAAATTGCTGGGATTATAGGCATGTACCACTATACCTAGCTCTTTGAGGTTTTAATGTCCAGTTATGTCAAGGATTATGAAATTCTCAGAAAATGTTAATTCTATTTCACAACCACTATTTAAATTTAAAAATGTCAAGCATATATGTGGGAAGAAAACAGTTATTAACAGAAAGCTGGAGATAAAGTAAAAGCGATCGATTTTTACAATGAATATGATTTTATACATAATTGCAAAAGAGACAATTATTACTTGGTATTAAACTCTGTTATTGAAGATTAGAGGAAAAACAGCATCATCAAGCTCTTCTGGCCCAAAAGAAAAGCATCACAGAAGAAGAAACAGAGCAGTTACCTCGAATAAAAAGGAGGAATTATAAATTCCTAGGGAAAAAATTATGTTTTTTTTAACCTAAACAAAACATCCTAATTTCTTAAATATTCTATGATAATTTGTGAAAGGTCATTTCATACTAAGAATTAGTGAAGGGCTGGGGGTGTAGCTCATTGGAAGAATACTTGCCTAGTGTGTGCAAAGCCCTGGGTTTAATTCTCAGCTCCCTCAAAACAACAAAAAGTGTATAAAAATCAAATCCCTCAGAAGTGTAGGTGTATCACTTGCATTGGTGTGTGTGTGTGTGTGTGTGTGTGTGTGTGTGTGTAAGAACAGAAAAATCATCAACAATTTATGAATTCTAATAAAATTTTTCTAATTTGCCAGTAAGCATTTTACAGGGATTTCAATAAAAATGATTTTGTTTTTATTATTTTAAATCTTATTAGGACAAAGAATATTGCAATTGTCCTAGTTTTGTGGAGACTATCTTGCTAGCATTTATAATATACTAAAATTCCTATTCAGAATTCATTATAATGGTTTTGACAGAAAATCCATGCCTATTTTTATAGATTTCAGACCTTTTCGTATTTATTAGAAGCTAATTAGAAATTTCAAAAAGTACCCCATTGTTGGAAGATACACCTAATGTATCTACATATGCAAATGTTCCATATGCCTTGTTATGTTTTCTGATTTTTAAGTCATTTTAAAGTCCCTGAACATTATGGTTCATACTATATGTAATGAGTGCTATCTCCTACCATCACCTTCATCAGAAACTATTATAGAAGAATCTGTCACCAGAACAGGGTTTTGACTCAGTAAGAACAATTTACATTCTGGCTTCAATTAGCTATACCAGTGTTCTCTCCTCCATTATTTCCAGAATCCTGACTACCAAATACTAATATACATGAATATTAGATGTGACTCAGAGAAGGGTGTAGTTCCTACAAAGCTAGGTTCCCTAATATTACTAGAATAATAAAGGGTTATCAAAGAAATCAAGTAAAGCCCAAATTCAACTGATCCTCATTCAACTTCTTTTATTCCGTATGTCTACGTTTGTAGGAAAGAATTATGTAGTTTATAGCCACTACACCAAATAACAATTTTTGTATATTTCTGGATGGACAAATATTCTCAAACTTGAAGGGGTGCTGCTTTCATCACTCAAAACTTAGATCCTTTTTGACTCTTTTCATAAGAGGTTAGAACTTTTCAGCTTAGACAGTTGAACTGGAAGGAAGCTGGGTTATTTTCTAATTATCATTCTCTGTCCTGTACTGATTACTTCCAATTCAATCTTTCTTAAGAAGCAAAACAAGAGCCTTAGGCACTGTTTTGCAGATGGAAGGCATCACTAATTGCTGAAAAGCAAAGCACTTTTTACTTTTCCTGGTATTCTCCCTAATTCTGTTTGACTTCAATGGATCTGTGGATGAAAGCTAACAACACATGCTTTTATTTAAAAAACCTTGGGGTCAATGCCAGAACCATATAACCAATTATTTAAATATAATTTAATTTTCCCCTCCAATTAAATGTAATTTTTGTTTTGTTATGTTTTGTTTTGTATTGTTTTGGTAAAATCACTTATGGATCAGAGCTGTAGCTCTGTGGCAGATTACTTGCCTAGTGAGTGTAAGGCCCTGGGTTCAATCCTCAGAACTGCAATAAATAAATAAATAAATAAATAAACTCACTTATGGCTTCTGCAAGCTAGTTACCTCTTCAAAAATTAATGTTTAGATTACAAAATGCAACAGTTTCACTGGAGATACATTAGATAGTACAGGAAAATGAAGATTTTATATCATTAAAGACAAGCACCGTTATCATTTTGATTTATACTCTTCCAATTTAGGGAGTGTGCATATGGGATGGTTTCTTTTCTAAGACTAGAATTTTTCTATATATTCTTTCTTAATATGTTGTATGTATTCATTTTTATGGTTGTTAAGGGGTTTCAGACAAGAAAAAAAAATATAACAGCAAAAGGAAAACTAGTTCCAAATTCAGATGAGGCCATTTCTTTTTTATTCCTTTTGTCCAACAAATACTGCTGTTTAATCAGCTGTGAAAATAGAATCAAGTGTGTGACATCTGGTGATTTTTGTTAATGCAGTCTGGTGCTGCCAGTGTGACATTTTGTCACCTGTCCATGGTCTGCTATTTTTAAATTGTTCTTGTCAGCTAGCTATCTTTTAAGTATAGAGCAAAATATAAGGTTTCAAAAACTGGAAGGCATACTTGGTTTTACTGAGTTAAATGATGCTGTGGAAATCTGAGACTATGTCCCACTTTGCCTACTACATAGCACCTGATAAATAAGGTTGAGAGGGGATAGAGGGAGAATTTAGAGAAAAGGGTTACAAATGGTTACTTATACTGTAAAAATCAGTTCCATAAGCTTAATTCACATTTATATTTTAAAATCTAGTTATTAAGACTAAAGTTTCAGAGTTCAACTAAAACTAAACTTGAATGTGTCCAAAATAAAACTTGGAATTTTTATTAATTCAAAATTAATGATGAAAGTCATTTCTTTACTTGTGCAATACGTTATAAATTGGGGAAAAACTGCTGTACCTTCCTCTAATCACCACCTTCAGAGAGCTTTACATAACAACATATTAGCGCTATATTCCAAAAAAGATTATAAGGTAAAATGTATATTCTACTGAATATTATTTCCCACCACTTTTTTCTAAAAATTTGGCAACATATTCCTTAAGAAAACATATTCATAAAAAAGAAAATATATCTATAAGATACAATATGTAAAAATATAGAAAAAAATTTAAAAAATTTCTCTAAAGGAAATCATTAAATTCTGGTACTATATATTCTAAAGATGTCCCAAATAACTAATTAGCAAAGTAAAAGGCTTAGGCCTAAGTTTAATTCCTAGTTTCTTCACCCACCAGTAATGAATAATTTTCAGCATTTTTCCCAGGCTGGTCTTCAAACTCATGGGTTCAAGTGATTCTCCCACATCAATCTCACAATGCTACCACACCCGGCTTCAGCAAACTATTAAATCTTTTGTGCCTCTGTTTCACTTAAGATTGTACTTCAGAACAATAAATCAGAATTTCTAAATCCTTTTCTTTTAGAACTGTCAGATGATTAAAATGCTATATGTAAAGCTAGGCAAGGTAGTGTAAATCTGTAGTCCCAGCTACCTAGGAGGCTATGATGGGACGATTGCGTGAGCCCAGGAAGTTTGAGGCCACCCTGGACAACAAAATAAAACTCGGTCTCAAAAAAAAAAAGTTGATGGGCATGGGCTGCATTCAAGGCCTTGTCTCAAAATAAAAAAACAAAAAGGGCTAAGGATGTGGCTCAGTGGTTAAGCACCCTGGGTTCAATCCCTGGTACAAAAAAAAAAAAAAAAAAAAAAAGTTGAAAAATCACTTCTTGCTGATTCAGAACGAGTCCCCTAATAGTTTACAGAATCTGTTCTGTGTGTGTGTGTGTGTGTGTATGTGTGTGTGCCTATGCTCATGCGCATGTATATATGTGCACATGTGCACCTGTATGCATTTATACATGGTACTGGTGATCAAACCCAGGGCCTCATGCTTACTGGCAAAGCTCTACCACTGGTGGAATCTGCTAATTTTATACAAGATGCACTGATAGGCTAAAGAGAGATAACAAAAATAAAACTAAGCAATGATTCAAGCATCAGAAGTAAAGAGACAATATATTTTTCTAGAACATCCAGGAAGTCAGTCATCAAAATGTAGTGAAGATGCATTTTTCTTACAAGAAAATCTCAAAATTCCAAAAAAGGGGGACAATTTTGTGAAAGTCTCTATAATACTAAATTTAAATTGTGATGAATAAAAAAATGCCTTTATAACAACAAAGGGATAGCATTCACTCCTTCCAAGTTCTGTCAATTTAAATGTACCTAAAGCACTATTACCAGAAGATACGCTGGTTTTTCCTCAGACTGTTTTAGTATACCTTTGAAAAGCAAGACCCTCAATATCAGTTCTTAACTGATACCTGCTCTTTTCATTTTTCAAGTTTCACAAATGGCAAAGGAACAGAAAATTCAAATATATTATTAAAACTCTTCATTAGGCCCTACTCCCAGTCAGCCAGATCTTTTGTTTTAAGGAAATGGCTCAGGATAAAGCAAAAGTGACTCCCTCCCTGTTTTCTGACTAGATGCCTGCTATGTTGTGCTTCCCTAGCTAGAGGATAGGATCTTTGCTTCCCAGTATCACCAACTCTGCCAGCACACTGAAGTTGGTATTCCCTTATTATTCTAGAGTACGGAGAATATGACTAATGAAATCAGGTTTTCAAGTCAGGGGACAACTATAAAGACTGTATAGAGATGAATCTTCCCTCTACCTTTTTTTTTGGTCAGGGGAATATTGGGAGTGAACCCAGGGGAGATTTACCACTCTGTTACATGCCCCCCTTTTAAAATTTGGAAAAAGGTTCTAAGTTACTAAGAGTCTCACTAAATTGCTGAGGCTAGTCTTGAACTTGTGATCCTCATACCTCAGTTTCCCAAGTCACTGGGATTACAGATGTAAGCCACTACATCACCCCTGTGTATGTGTGTGTATGTTTGAGGGTGGGGATTCTGGGGATGAAATCTATGCTCACAATCACTCTATCACTGAGTTTTATCCCTAGCCCTTTTCCTCTCTTATCCTACTTCTTTCAACACTAGAAATCCCCTTAATCATCACAGTTATGAGAAGAGTTGGCTTTCCCTTCAATCTACTACAAATAAGAGCAGAGATCAGCTGGGTATGGTGGCACATGCCTGTAATCCCAGCAACTCCAGAAGTTGCAGCAGAAAGATTGCAAGTTCAAGGCCAGCCTCAGCAAATTTAGCAAGACCCTGTCTCAAATAAAAACATTTTTTAAAAATGGTTAGTGATGTAGCTCAATGATAGAGTACCCCTGGATTCAATCACCAGCACTTTTTCTTTCTTTTTTTTTTTCCTCCCCTGAAGAAAAAGTAAATTGAGTTCTAGGGGAAAAACCACCAAGACAAAGGAACATACAAAAGACAATTACTAGCCAGGCTCAGTAGCACACACCTGTAACCCCAGCCACCTGGAAGACTAAGATCACAGGTGTGAGATCAGATTGGATAATTTAGTCAGACTCTGTCTCAAAATAAAATAAAAAAGGCTGGGGGTGTAAGCTCAGTGGTAAAGCATTTGCCTAGCATGTGGGAGGCTCTGGGTTCAATTCCCAGTGCTACAAAAACAAAGAAAACAAAACTCCACCACCCTATACTTGAGATCTGAGACCATTAAAATAGTGTTCCTATATTCAACTGGAATAAGAAGACTCTAGGCTGAAGTGTAGGCAGGGGACACTGAAGATAGGATGGAATAGAGAAAAGTGTTTCTGGACACGCCCATAGAGAAGTCACACAGTAGATACCCTAGCCTACTGTACTTCTCTTTTTTTTTTAATATTTATTTTTTAGCTGTAGATGGACACAACACAATGCCTTTATTTTTATGTGGTGCTGAGGATCGAGCATGGGTCCCGCCCATGGTAAGCGAGGGCTCTACCGCTGAGCCACAATCCCAGCCCCCATACTTCTCTTAAAGCTTAATCCATGTATTTGTTTACATTTTTTGACCCAAAGACCATCACTATGAATTTACCTTAAAGACATGCTATATGTCTGAACTCATTCATGGTAGCATTATCTATAATAAAGGAAAAACTGTAAACAACCTACAAGTCCCAATATAAGTCCTATTAAGAAATTATAAAGATCAAAGAGAAACATGGATAATATTTACTATATGGGAAATAGAAAACTAAAGGACACACCATCACAACACATGCATGCTTTTTTGGTTCCTTCTTTTTGCAGTACTGGGAATTGAACACAGGACATTCTATCTCTAAGCTACATTCCCAGTCCTTTTTAATGTCTTAAATTTTGAGACAGAATCTAGCTAAGATGTCCAGGCTGGCCTTGAGCTTGTGTTCCTCTTGCATCAGCCTCCTGGGTAGCTGAGATTACAGGCATGAGCCACCATGGCTAGCCACAATGTTTTATTTATTTATTTAGTTAGTTAGTTACCTTTTAGTTCTAACAGTTTTCGCTACTTTTTAAAACTAAAATTACTTAAAACATTTTAAGGTGCAAGTATCATTCATTATGGTAATAGGTGATAAGGATCAAATGTGATGCTATAAATCAGATCTAAAACTCCCCTGGCTATAAAGGGAAAACAGGAAGCCCAAACACCCCGAAGCACAAAGGACAATGACATACTGATATCACTGATCACAAGAAAGTAGTCCATTTATATGAAATCACTGTGGTAGTTAGTATGATGAACTGGGAAACTGCAACCATAAGGAGGCTATAAGAAAGTGTGCATGAAGTGTCTTTCAACTTATTAGGATATATTTATTATAAGCACAGTGCAGCAAGCTTTTATAGACAAAACCTCATAACTGCTAGTAAGGAAGGCTATGCAGAGGTAGTTGGGCCTGCAATAAAAAAGACCACCACAAATGGAATCAGGTATTATATCACCCCACAGTGAGGTTCCCTCCTTACACTATGCCAGTTCGATGAAACAAACTGCTCAATGGAACATAATAGCTTCTGCTTAACCTAAGTACACAAAATTCTGGTAAATTATTTTAGGCTACAATCTAATAACCTTTCATAATCTTTTACTGCAAGTCAAAAAGAATACAGCCCATAATAAAACATGTATGCATAAAAGAACAGGACTTGAATATTTTAGAATAAATAGGAAAGGCTTATAGCTATTGATAGTAGAGAAGGATGACATATGTAGCATATGTAGCCTTAGAATATTCTAAAAATGCAAAATAGACTGTGAATGTTTTGTTGTTGTTTTACATCTTTCTCACTTCTAAGTGAATTATGCTTTAAATTACCAGGTACTTAATCTTTAACTGAAGAAAGATGTGGTAACAATAACTAAACATAATAATGTTTTTTTTTTCCTGCTTCTGAAGGCCTTAAAATAAAGCTTTACTGGGGCTGGGGTTGTAGCTCAGTGGTGGAGTGTTTGCCTAGTGCATGTGAGGCACTGGTTTGATCCTTTGCACCACATAAAATAAATAAACAAACAAATAAATAAAAGTATTGTGTTAATCTACAATTAAAAATATTTAAAAATATATATCTAGCTTTTCTGAAAATCTTTTACTTTCTTTATAGTCTACTCTAACTACTACTTTTCACTGGAAACTGAGAAAATCAGCAGAAAATCATAAGTATAAAAAGAAAATGATGGAATGGACTTGTGATGTGTCTTGAAGAAGTAAGTGTCAGATGTTCATAGTCAGTCACACCCTATATAAAGGCCTAGAAAGAACCAAGGTTCACATTAGATGGGCATCCCTGTGGCAAACTCTTCAGTTTTCAGATATATTTAGGTCCTAACCTAAGTGGGGTATTTCCACAGAAAATTTGTATTAGTATTTAAAATTTTATAGGGTACCTAAAAATCCTATAATCCATAAAAGGAATGATATGTAATGATGAATGAAACATCTGTCCTAAATTTATATGAACTCTAAAATAGGAAGTCCTAATATTGTTGACCTTTAGACTCTCTGCCTTATATTTAACCCAAAACATTTATATACTTTAAGCCATCTTTCTTGTGGTTTAGCTTCAAACTATGCAAAGGGTCACTGGCTGTTCTTAAATCTGTGTTATAATACTTCCTATAGGAAAGTGATAATACTCTAATTAAAAGGAATCCTTTTATGCAAAGCTTTCTGATGTAGTCTTTGAAGACTGATTTACTAAATCTCATACTTCCTTGCAGTATACCTTGACTTAAATGGACTATGCAAATTTAGGTTTCCAAATGACCAAAGCTCAGAAAATTTATCTTCTGGTCTCATGCTATAACCATGACCTCAGCTACCCCACACATGCTTCTTCCAGACATTACTGAATAAAGCAATCAACCTTAATTATTGCAGGTAGCTGAACCCAGGTTAAAAACAAAAATCAATTTTAAATACATTCCACAAAGCTTTACAGAAGCAAAACAAAACAAACAACAAACAAAACAAAAAAATCACAATTATTAAAAAGCTGATTTTTGCTTAAAACACCAAGCAAGGAATGGACATATGAATATTCCTAACCTGCGAAATGATTCCTCCACATTATATCAGCGAAACTCATTGGTGGGCCACTGGGAGGGTAGTGTTTACCTTTCAGAGGCTCATGATCAGTCCTTATCATATCCATTAAGGAGTTCTCCAAGGAGTGCAAGTTAAAAGTGTCATAAGGCCTACTCCGGTCCTAAAAATAAAAACACAGAACAAGACGATACATAAAATTACTTCATAAAGTAAATACCAAATTATTTGCTTCCTGCTGTGGATTGATGACATGAATGAAAGTTAAAGATATTTCTAAAAACACAGTCCTTCCTTTCATTAAGACTAATGATTTGGCCTATTAAAATTTAATTCTAGTTTCCAAAACTAATTAAATTGAATCCTCTTCCCTAATATTTTATAAAGTCAATGCCTCACTAATGGACACTGATTTTCTCTCAAATGAAGTGAAAAAGTAAATTCAAAAGGGTCAAGTGAATTAGCTTTGCCCTCTACCTTCCACCCCATGCCTCCATTGTTAAATGAATAGAAATTTCTCCCACCCCCAGAGAACCACAATGTTAGTACTCAGTTTACAAACAGACTCACTTCTCTGAAGAATGAAAAGGTGATTATCATTTTAATGTAATTGTAATGGATATCTTTAATATTATGACTGATAAATTCCATACTTCAGATACACTAATAAAAATGTGACCAAAGTACTAAAATTACCTTCAGAAAAGCACTAATAAAAAAATTTTAACTCAAAGTAGTATTTCCATGATGTATAAGTAAAAAACAATTTGAAAAGGGAAAGCTACTACAAACTAAGTGAAAAAGGGGAAAACAAAACAAAACAAAAAAACCCTGTTCCACCATATTTCACTCCAGCCCACCAGAGACCATAAGCTACAAGTTCTTCAAGTCTAAACCTAATGGGAAGTGTAGTTTATGGCCTAAGGTAATTCTATAAAATAGACTTTGATTGCTTTATTTAAGAAAGGCAAGAATCTGGCAACGTGGGAGGCTGAGGCAGAATGACTGTAAATTCAAGGCCAGCCGGGGCAATTTAACAAGACCCTATCTCAAAATAGGAAAGAAAAAAAAAGGGGGGGCTAGGGGTATCACTCAGTAGTAAGAGACCTCTGGGTTCAATCCTTAGTACTACCAAGAAAAAATAAAACAACAACAACAAAAAAAAAAAAAAAGAAGACATACATCTCAACAGCCAAATCAAATCAAACTACAGTGTACAATTTATCCAGCCTTGCACTAACACTTACCCCTCTCCAATGAACAGCACTCATTAGTTTCTTTATCCTCAGATAAGAAAGAAACATAGATTTTTGTTGCTGTTCTCCAGTTTGGTTTCTATATAACTCAAGGGTTTTTCTTTTACCTTTAAGGTCTTCTGACAGATCATTTGTTTTGCTTTTGGTTTGCTTTATCAGTGGAAGCTCTAATTACTTAAGCAGTGAAGCTGAACTTCCAGAAATGCAGGCTTATCTATCCCCATAAGAAGTATCATATTCTTTCTCCACAGAAAAAGCCAGAAGTAAACAAGCATGCTGATGAGGAGGCAAAATGACAACCTATTTCTGGCACTGACAATCCCATAATGAATATCTAGGCACCTTCTATCATAACCACACTTCTAACTAGAAAACACTTCTAACTGTAGATATGAGATCCTTTCAGAACAGGCTGAAAGGAAACTGTAAGACAAGACTGATGGCATTCAACAATCTTTCCAGTCAGGACATTTCTATTTTTTCATCTAATTCTTGATATAATCTTTCACATACCCATTTTAAATATAAAGAAGGCAAGGGTTAGAAAAGATTAAAACCAGGATCTAAACTCAAAGCTAAGCCCAAAGAGTATAAAAGTCTGTCCAAAATTGTTGATTCGATCCATATGGGGTAATTAATGAAAACTATAGAAACATAGCACTACATCTAATTGTTGATGAAATGACCTTTTGGCAAGGTGGCAGTGAGTCCCTGTCACAAAAGGATATCAGAGATTAGATGACCACCTGTCAGGAAAATTGGTAAAAGTGATGGGAGGAGGATTTATGTGTCTAAACTGAAATGGTCCCCAAACCAAGGAGACCGTCAAAATCACAGGTAGCTCAGGTTAAAAACACAAGTTTCTGGGTTCCAGCTCAAACCACTTCATCATAATTTTAAAAGAAATAAATGTTCCAGGTGATTCTTATGACTTGCTGAGAACCACTAGACTGGGTGATTCTTCAAGTTAAGTCTTTCTACACATGATTCTATTCAGTAAACTTGGGCAGTAAATTGAAGGAAGGGAATAGAAGAGAAGCAGCATCAATAAACAGCCAGCCATTTTGCAGAAAGCCAGCTTTGTAGTTTTCTGATTATGGATTAGACAGGCAGTTGGTGAGTTAAATTTTAAAAGCACAAACTGGCAGGGTGTGGGTAGAAAGCTGAGGCAGGAGGATCACAAGCCTGGGGCCAACCTCAGCAACTTAGTGAGGCCCTAAGCAGCTTAGTGAAGCATCTCAAAATAAAAAATAAAAAGGACTGGGGATGTGGCTCTGAGGCTAAGCTAAGCACCCTTGAGTTCAATCCAAGTACCATTAAAAAAAAGCACAAACTGGAATCAAAATCTGATTTTCAAATTCTGCCTCTCCAATTAACTGACATGTCACTTTGAAAAAATTTCTAAGCCTTGGTCATCTTCATCTACAAAATGGGGATGATAATTCCCTCTTCATGGTTGTTTTCAGTACTAAAAGAGAATGTACAACAAGGCATCTGTACTATGTACCTACTATAATAGTAGGAATAATTCAAAAAGACTTCTGTGATAACACTGGAACACAGATTTAAATCCTCAGAAGGTCACAATGCTAACCCAGCAGAGTTCACTTATGTTTAACAGATAAAGACATATGCCATGTGAAAAGCATGACAGAATTGTCATAGGCTTCTTAATTGAGAAAACTTCAGTCCTCTAAGAGACTTATTTTCTCATTAAAATTAATTCCATTCATGCCTCATCAATTTATATTTGCTGCATACCATTCATCTTTTTTGTTTTACAAGTACTAAACGATGCTGAAATAACTGATTAATCAGGAATCCAGCAAGACACAGAACAGAAAGTACAGAGAAACTGAAAAATCTGTAGTGAAATTCAAAGGAAATCATGTACAGGGAAAAGGCAGCCACAATTTAGCGTTCAACTATAAAAGTCATAAGTAGCAACTTACCTGTTAGATTTTTTTTTGTAAGTTTTGTTTCCCAATATAAGCAAAAAGAAAATATTTCTCTTTTTTTGTTTGTTTGCTTTTAACAAGCAAGCACACCAAGAGGCATTAGGACATCTATAAATAATAGATCCCATTACTGACTCTTTTTCTTTAAAGATAATCAATGGCAGACATTATCAGTTAGTTATATATATAGGAGCAGCCCACCCCCACTATATAATCACTGCTTTTTTTTTCTTTCCCGGCTTGACTTAATATTAATAAAATTGTCAAGAATTTAAAATTACCTCACAACTCTATAAAGGAGGTAACTTTTGGCACCATCTTATAAATTAAGCAAGCAAATCTTGGACAGATTAAGTAACTGGCTGAAGGTTATGGGGCTAATAAATGGCAGGGCTCAAATTTAGTCAAATCCAGACAAGCTCTTAAGGACTTTTACTGTACCACCTTCCTGACTTCCTCCTACTCTCTTCAGTATTAAGTGTTTCTACACATACACCCTTCACTCCCTTTGGCCTAATCCTAACATGATCCAGAGAGGTCTCTCTGACTTCACTCTGCCATATAAGCAATCTCTCACTTGCCCTTGGTGAATTACTCTTGTTCAAGTGACAATTAACCTCAAGAAGCAGTCTGATCTACTCACCAGCACGGCCCGAGTCTACCTGTACTACTAGCCCATCCCATTTACTCATTCTTTTCTTTTATGTTCAATAGTAGGGATTGAATCCAGGGGTACCTATCATTGAGCTACATACCCAGTCCTTTTTATTTTTAGACAAGGTCTTGCTAAATTGCTGAGCCTGGCCTTGAACTTGCAATCCTCCTGCCTCAGCCTTCTAAATCTTGGGATTACAAGTATGTGCCACCATGCCCAGTTTACCTGCCTTTTACTTGGGAGAGGAATCCAGGACCTCTTTATACAATTTCTGGCTTATACCCAGGTCTTTTCTCTCCTAGAGACACGAACTAAAAGACTGCAAAGATCAACAGTATCTGCAAAAATTAAAGTAGGTCTGGAACTAAATGATAAGATTAACTATGATGGCTTCTCAATCCTCACCACACCACCCTGCAGGGTAGGTATTATCTCTGAATCAGAGGGGAAAACATGCTCACAGAGTTATATAACTGCTCAAAGTCACAAAGCTGATCAGAAATCAGGATATGAACCTGTCTATGATTCTCATGTCCATGCCAATAATATTCCAATGCTTCCACCCTGATTACCTGCAGTGTGTCTCATGAACATTGGGGGCATAGTTGGGGAGAATGGGACATAGAATAGACCAAAAATCAAAAGGTGAGAAGATATCTGAAAGGGCTAGGAAAGGACAGATATGCTTATAAAATAATACAGAAAAACAAAAAGAGGAATTCCTGAAGGAAGGCTTTTCTATTCATCATATGACTTTAATATATACATAGATAAAACATTTCAAAGTTAAATGATTATAACACCAAGAAATCATAAAACTAGTCATTTCTAAGTTTCTACCCTACTGTTCTTACTTTCTACCATAGTACATACTATTTGAAAAATGCTATATGTCTTCTTCCACTCTCCATATCACTATATATATTTGGCATGTATTCTTGCAAATATTTAAAAATGCAGAGTTGGAACTCTATATGTATTGATTTCACATTCATGGACTCAACCAACCATAAATTGAAAATATTTGAAAAAAACTGCATCTGTATTGAACATCTACAGATTTCTCATTATTCCAACATTATAGCATAATGACTATTTAATAGCATTTACATTGTTATTATGTATTATAAGTAATCTAGAGATAACAAAAAGTATAGGAGGATATGCACAGGTTATATGCAAATTCTATGCCATTTTATACAAGGGACTTAAGCATCTGTGGATTTTGGTATCTACACAGAGATCCTGGAACCAACTCCCATGAATACCAAGGGATTCTTTTTCTATATACGTA